ATCCATTCAAAACAACCAATCATACATTCGCGAGTAAGGGGATAGTTTAATGCGTACGTGAGACAAAAGGTCCTAAAAATGGAAGATGCAACCCTAATATCCACATGCCATGCATAAAAAGGGTAGAAAAAGGAAACGAATGGCTAAGTCAAATGCTTGGACCCACTTAGGACGTCCCCAGTGGAGTCGCCAACTGTCACGCCCCACTTTTTGATGTTGGTGTGTGAGTAGTGTGTGTGAACGTGTGTAGAAGTGAAAGCAAAGACCGTGGGATTGTAAAATGCGACGGTTTTGGTCAAGTAAAGTTCAAAATGGTTTTATGTATGAAAAATGGAGTCGCCACTTGGTATAGAGTTAGGGTGTACCAAGTCACCCAAAAATGATTTTTGTTTTTGAATGAAAAAGTAAACAAACCCTTTTTGAAAACTTTTAGGTCTACATAACCAAAGAAAGGGATCGAGGGTCACGTTTGGTGAGGGAGAAGGCAAAGGCGGAGCCTATGGCACTCCCTTACCCTAGCCAAAGCTAGTTGCGTGACTTAGCCCCACGTTTTCTAATTTTCTACCCAAGGTATGTATCGCATGTTGGATATGACTAGATGAATGCGAAAAAGTAAGAAAAATGCAATCCTAAATCTAAAATGTTTCTCATGAGGCTTTTAGGTCCCAACCACATGAATTGTGGTGGCCAATGAGGAAAGCTCTCATGGAAGTCGTGATTAATGCAAGTGAGGACTCAAGTGCAAGTGTGCAAATGTGAGAAAATAAAGGTGTTTGTGTGTACAAATGAATGAAAATAGGATATTAGATACGTAGAAGTGCAATTTGAGTGCCATTTGTGAGGTTGAAAATAAACGAGAGATAAATAAGTGATAAAAAGATGTTGAGAAAGTGTGGATTGAGAAAAATGAGAAAATGTGGTTAAAAGGTGAAGAGGTGATATAAAAAGAATGCAAGTGTATGACCCTAAGGGGATGCATCAAGTTGGGCACGGGAAGGATTCCTAACTTTGTGACTTCAATTTTTCCTTTGATTAGAAAGGAGAAATAGCGTGCTAAGGCTGTTTTGAGCCACACTCGCTCGTTTCCCTTATCGAAAGGGGAATCTCAAGCAAATGTACTCTATAACTAGCATGAGGATGCAAAAAGCCTAAAATGAGGGGAAAAGGATTGGAGGAGCATGCCGAATGATAAAACTAAAAAATGCATGAAATGTAATGAACATGCAAGTATGTACTAACGAAAGGGGGACGGCCTATTGGGTCTAGCGTTGGACTAGCCCTTTCTATGTATTCCTAACGGAATAATGAGCCACAACTAGCATTGGACTAGTGTGGTGACTTACATTCATCCATCACATTCATCTACGACTATAGAAAGCAAGTAGACATACAAATCACTTATAAACACGTAGCATATAACACTTAGCATGCTCGACTAGATGCAAGAGCCTAATAAAGCAAATTAACACATAGCAACAAGAGCAAGCAATCAAGCTAATAAACCTATTACATTTGCTAGTTAGGCACACATTTTCAATAGGTCTTCATCAAGTGCTCTCCAATCCCTATCTATTACAAGCCAAGAGGTGTACACATACCCCATAAAAGAATAACTTAATTAAAAGCAAAAGTAAGTGAAATAAATGAAAGAGATTAAGGAAAAGCAAGGAAAACAAAGTAGACATGCAATTCTCACTTAGCACGTTGGATCACATAGGGGAGAGACAAAAAAGATAAAAGAAGTTATACCTTCTTTGGAATGGTGTCCAAATGAAAAGAAAAATGGCTTCAAAACAATAAAAAGGTCAAGGTACCACTTTAATTGAGAAAAATTAAAAGAAATGCGGAAATACAAAGCTCACTTGATTGTAAAGCCCCTAAAGTCATGACTTAAGTGCAATTGACAAAGCATGGTAGTTAATTGAAGCAAAACAAACAATGAAATTGCAAAAACTAAAGCTGCCAAGGACCAAATTGATGACATTATTCAATTGGTTGGGTCATAGTAAAACAAAAGGGGACTTAAGGGGCAAAAATGCAATTTTTGAAAGCCATTTTACATGCATGCAAGTCACGTAAGAAAAGCTCCCTTCTGCAACATTCATTCGAATTTTTCTGCAAATTCAAGCTTCCAAATGCAGATTTCATACAAAGCTTCAGACAAGAACTAATGAAAAACCACACTCAATATCCTTGGGTAACTAAACACCTTACTCAACACAAACCAAATCAGGAACACAAATCATTAAAATCAAATGAATGAACAAATGGGTAGCATATGTTGCGGCAGAAGAAAAAACAACCAAAGAAAGGAAAGAGCTGCTACACCAAGCCATCGGCTCGGGCTAATTGCAGCAGATTCTTATGCTCACAAATCAGCCATTTGCAATCTAGAAACTAAGCAAGAGTACCATCTAGCATTCGAATGCCATCAAATGAAAATTCAAACAGACACATTCGGTAGAACTACTGTAATAAAATCTGATGTAACTCAATGTTGTGTGCAAGGAAAACTAGACGCAACTTTCTGCAATTCTGATTTCCAGGGATTTGCGCAACATTACATGACAAATGGCTAGCAACAAAAATTTAATTTTCAGACCCTCATTCAGTGTTACAAACTCATCCTCAAGATATCATGCAAGGGGAAAGAAAATCTGGGCAGAGAGGGGTCATAAGATCAGATTTCTGCTGTAAACTTTGTAGCTCACCTCATACGATTCTATTCATACAGAAACTCTAACCAAAGTTGTTATTTCATCAGTCCCAAACTCACATAATCAGTTTTAACATAACCTCAAAACATGGTTTGCCCAGCTTTAGCAGATAAAAACAGTAAGAAAGAAAAAGGAACAACGAAAGACAGCAAGCATGCATAACTTGGACTGAACTTTTTCTCATGCAAGCATTCGACACTTCATTCTGCTGCAAATTTTGCAACTCACCCCACTCGGACAACTTCATGCAAAAACTTAGATAAAACACAGCAACCAAATCCCACACAAAACTCAGAACTTTCGTCGCCCCAAACCCAGTCCAAACCCACGGATTTCTTCACCATAAGCCGAAAAAACAGCAACAACAAGAAACCCAGAACTTAACATGCATGGCAGGATACTAATGAGTGCATTTCACTTCTTTTCAGCAGTAGAGAGAACACGGCTAGCACAAAACAGGGAGCGAAAGCTTTCCCCCTCTCATCAAGTTCACAAATAGGAAGTATAAGCAAAGGAACGCAGCAACAGACGTGGCAGCAAAAATGTTAATGCGTCTGCGATTTATGAACAGAAAAAATGGAAAGATTACCTTTTGGCCTTCGTTGCTTTGTCACCCGCGAAGAAAGATTGAGCCAAGGACATGGCGCAGAACCATTCCGCATCGGTGACGTTGAAGTCCGCAGCACCATCATCATTTTGTTCATCAGCTGGGAGGCTCACCGAGCAAAACTGGAATCCCTTTCATCACTTTCCTCTCGGATTGAGCCAGATCCGCAGCCCGTCAAACTCTTTCTGGTTTTCTCCAACAAATCTAGCCCAAAGCTTTCTTCTTTTTCTATTTTCCCTCAGCCCCGACACTCTCTTTGCTCAGCCTTTCTCCCCTCCAGTCCGTCCAACTAGATTCTCAGCCTCACTTCTCTATCACTCTCTATCTTTCAGCCGTGATCCTATTCTCCCCAGCCGTCAATCTCTCTGTGGTCTCAGACTTCCGCCGTCTGCTAAACCTCTAGAGCTCTCTGCTAAGACCTCCCCCTTGTTTTTTTTCTCTTTTTGGTCCTCAGCCGTCACTCCTTCCTCAGCCTCCAGATCCTTACTCCTTCTCGGTTCTCCCTCAAAACCCCCGTAACTTTTCCAACCTTCCAGGTCTTCCTCACTCTCGGCCCTCTCTCCGCTTTCTCCTTGAAGTTTCCTTCAATCTCTCTGTAGCTTTTCTGGTTTTCTCCCGCTCTCTCGCTTCTCAGTTTTTCCTTAGCCGTCAACTTCAAAAACCTCCCTTGCGGCTGCCATTTTTTTTTCTTTTTATATGGAACCCAAGGTTCCTAAACCCTCACCCCAATGGTGAGGATGAAAGGCTTGCCCTTGCCTTCACATCCAGCCCTCCGATGGGGCATCTGTGATTGTCCTTTGCAAGCTGCAAAAATATGCAGCTTGCATGCCGGGGCCTTTTTCTCTTTTTTATTTTTTTTATTTTTTTAATAATAACTAATTAATATAGATAACTAATTAATAAAAAAAATAACTAATGAAGAAATGCTAATTAAGATAAAAATAAAATGCTAATTTTCCTTTTTTCTCTTTTTTTTTCTTTTCCCTTTTTTTTGAAGTAATTTAACAAAATGGTAATAAAATTAAATGAAAACCAACAATTTAATTAACATCGGATAAAAATGAATAAACTAGAAATAATAAATAGCAAAATTGCAATTTTCCATTTTTCTTTTCATTTTTCATCATTTTTCTCTTTTTCTCTCTTTTTTTTTCAAGAAAGCGTTAAATTTGAATAAAAATCAACTAAAGCATACTTTTGAATGTTTTTCTCTTCTTTTTTTTCTTTTCGAGAAATTCTATGCTAAAACTCCAAAGATAAAAATAACAATAATAACTAAAAAACTAAAGACTAAAGAGCGATGAAATTTTGGTAAAAGAAATTACAATGAAATTTTGGTGTCTACAGGTGGTTTGCTATGGAAAATTCTAATACCCCTTGGAAAATCAGGTTAATAAGTAGAACTTTGTTGGTTTGTTCTTCGAAAATCTGGTTTCTAAGTATGTCAGTTTGATTTGCTTAATTGTAGGATAAGGTTACCTTGTGGGATGATTGTTATGTACTTAGAGAAAGAAATGAAGAGGAGAGATTTTTCTTCCATTGGTTTATGTATTGAGTTAACTATAGTTTCTAGGATGCTCGAATTTAGCTAGTCATGGAATTGTGTACTTCGATGCTTTGTTCCATAGGTACTCTTCCAATACTTCAACAAGGAAACATGATACTTAGAGATTTATTTACGGATGGGCAATAATTTTATTTCTACGATAAATAGATGCTATCTCTATCTCTTTGATGGCTACACTTTCAGTTCCAGCTCCATCTAAGGCTCGTCTACCACCATTTGACCAAACGCTGATCTTTGGTTGCAATTCTTTAATAGCTTTAGCATTAATTTTGGTAATGTTTTTGAACATGCCTCCATTGATCATCGGATAATCTCTCAGAGCATGGTAGTTTCCACCTATTGAGTTCAACAGAGTGCTGATATAGACTCCCTGTGTCTTTGCAAGAACCTTTAGTCCTTCAGCTTCTTTACATTTTGCATAAAGTTCTGCATCTGCAGCTTTCTACCTTACATAACATTCAGCTTGTGCTCCCACTCTTTGAGCCTCTGTAGCTTTAGCTTGCTGGTACAACAATGCCTCTGCTTCCTTTTGCTTCTTGTAGAGCTTTGAATTTGCCTCTTGAACCTTAATCTCATAATCAACAGTAGCCTTGCTAAGTTCTTCAACCTTTAGCTACTCAGTCTTGGCCAACGCATTCATCCTCTCAACTTCTTTTTACAATTCTGCCTCCCAAATAGCAACTACTTTTTCAATCTCCACTTCAGCCATCTTTGCTTGCTGAGCCCACTTGGACTTCTTTGTAGCGAGTTCAGCATTTGCTTTAGCAACTTCAGCTGCCCTTTGATTCTCAGAAATCTGCACTTTGGATTTCACCTTGATTTTCTGTTTCTTCTCCTCACCTTCCCTTTGTGTGGACAATATCTTTGTCCCAGCATCAATCTTTGCAGCATTTTGAAGTGTTAGTCCTGCCCTTTCCTTAACACCAACCTCTCCCCCTCATCTTTGCCTTAGTAACATCAAATTTTGCCTGATTTACTACCTCCATTTGAGTTTTTTGCCCAAGGTATGATAAATACTCATGCCCTTGAACATCGACTAGTTGCTTAATGTTGGAATTATAGATCAAAAGTCCAAATTGGTTGAGCTCAAGCTGGATCTTCTCAAAAACTTCGCTCTTGATATTTTTTGTGCCTTTCAAGATCTCTTCGATGGTCATAGCAGCAGCAATAACACGCAATCTCCCTCGTTGATACCTTGAACAAGCTCCTTAACATTCTGGGCGTGACAACCCCACTTTCCCCTTAGGCGTACCAAAGGGGTTAGCGGACTGCCTGCCCAACTCTCGCCAGGACTAACGAGGCAGTTAAATACAATCTAAAACGTTTTGGAAGATAAAAGCGCGCTCAAACGAATCAAAAATCACAAAACGAAAAAATGAAAATCGGAGCCACACATGAACAGTGCTGGCCACGTCACAATCCGGCCGAAATCTGGCCCGATTTCTGGCCGGATTCTTGGCCGGATTGTGGCCAGAGAGCAACTGGCCGGATACCAAAATTTCCAAGGCAATCCGGCCAGCAATCCAGCCAAATTCTGGCCGGATTTGTCTGTGACCTTTCCCGCCAAATTTTTTTCTTTTGCCGTTTGAAGTTCGAACCTATCCGAAATCCAATCAATCACCCACAATACATATAAATCTTGAAATAAGACATTTACAAACCAAAATATCATACGAACATTACCAAACACGTTTATACACTTATAGTCTCAACTTTACAACTCAAAAGGGAATGTTGAGTCAAAATACATATAAGGTTTTTTCACCATCGATGAGCTATACAAAAGAATAATATTAAACTAGCTCAACTCGGCCTCAAAATCACAGTTTCCCCGAAAGGTACTCATATCCCTGTAAGGAAAACAAAGGTAATAGGGTGAGGTTTTGCCTAATAAGGTACCATCACCCAAGTAACAAAGTTCATGTAAGCACAAAGCCAATCAATCCAAATTCATTCAATAAAGGAATTAACTAACACCATACTTCAATAAACATTGGTAAAAGGATACAGACGGCTCTCAAGAGCTCTTTTCCTCACTTGCCATACTTGATCTCACCTCATTGACTCTCCGTCAATGTACAAGGAGTGAACAATACCGTTGACTTCACTTTTCTCCAATTTCCGTTCACCTCTCATACCCCTACCGGACCCAAACTCCAATCAGTTCAGAAATGGTAATACTCGAGTATATCGAAATCAAGAATCTCATACTCAAAGATTCCACATAAACAGTCCCCATGGCTTGTCAATTTTCTCGACCAAGCACTTGCCGGCTCGATTCAATTGACCACCAATGGGGTTGAGCTCAGTGTTAACAGTAGAGGTCGTTGGATACACGTCCAAACGACACCAGTTCAAGTATATTCAAGTGACATTCAATTGATACAGTAAACGATCATATAAGACATAGAGTGGGATTTTCTGGCATCGTCCAATCAGTCACGGCCTCTACTTTCACTCGGTCAACCGAGATGCCCTCTTGGGAAATTACGTGCCCTAAGAAAGAAATTTTCTCCAGCCAAAACTCGTACTTACTGAACTTGGCATACAACTGATGCTCTCTTAGGGTTTGCAAAATGATTCTTAAGTGCTGCTCATGCTCCTCACGCGTTTTGGAGTAAACCAGGATGTCATCAATAAAGACAATGACAAATCGATTCAGGTAGGGTTTAAAAACCCTATGCATTAAATCCATAAAGGTAGTAGGGGCATTGGTTAGTTCAAAGGGCATGACCGCGAATTCATAGTGCCTATATCTCAAATTGAAGGCAGTTTTTGGGATATCCTCCTTCCTAATCAACAATTGGTAATACCCCTGTCGAAAATCCAATTTCGAAAAGACCACTGCTCCTTGCAACTAGTCGAACAACTCATCAATATGGGGCAGTGGATATTTTTAACCGTTACATTGTTCATCCCCCGATAGTCTATACACATCCGCAAACTCCCATTCTTTTTCTTTACAAATAATACAGGGGCTCCCCAAGGAGACCCACTCTCTTGAATGAAACCCCGTTCCAAAATATCCTGCAACTACAATTTTAACTCCCTAAGTTCCGCAGAGGCCATCCGATACGGAGTTTTTGAGATAGGTGACGCTCCCGGTAATAGGTTGATTTTGAATTCTATCTCTTTCTCCGGAGGTAGGGCTACTAACTTATCAGGAAATACATCTGGATATTCCCTTACTATGTGCACATCATCTACCTTCAATTTATCGATGGAGGTATTGATTAGAAAGGCTAAGAACTCTTGCGCCCATCTATTTAGCAATTTCCTAACCTGAATACCCGAGATCAAGGCAGATGAGACTAACCTACCCCTTATATCTAACCTTAAGGTCGCCTCCCCAGGAATGCAGAATTCTACCACATTCCTTTTACAATCAAGTTGTGCATTATACCTAGCTAACCAGTCCATGCCCAAGATTACATCATACCCCTTAATGGACAGGCTTATCAAATCCCCTAATAATTTCCTCTCTCCTATCCAAACTTCACAATCCATATAAACCATACAAGTGACCAAACGATGATCCCCTGTAAGAGTACTAACTTCCAGGTCATAGGGTAAACTAATAGGTTTTATATCTATTCTGCACATAAAATTGGGGTTGACAAATGAATGGGTAGTATCGGGATCTACTAAGACTTTCGCAAATCAGTGGAAGACAGGAATCGTACATTCCATAACTTTAGAAGAATCAGGGACCTGTTGTGGCTCCAGTGAATACACTCGAGCCGCTACCTTGGGTTTGGTCCCTTCCCCCTTAGCCGGTTCGGAATTGGTTCTCGTCGATTGCTAGCTTCCCTTTCCATCTCGGGATAGAACCGGACAAGCGGCGAGCTAGTGGTCTGCACTTCCGTAGCGCAAACATTTTCCCTCCTTCGTCCAACAGTTGTCCTCCGCGTGGTTTGACTTCCCGCAATACCCGCAGGGTCCATGGGATGCAGAACCCGAACCTCATTGGAAGCCTCATCTTTGGCCTCTCCCAACTTGGTCACCTCGTGACGGGGCCCCTTGTGACATTCCCGGCATCTTTCCTCTTCCAGTCCCCCGTCCAAACTTGAGAGGGGTACTCTTATCCCCCTGCCCGAACTGTTTCCAGGAATTCCTCACTTTTTCGCCTGAAAGTTTCTTACATGTAGCCTAGTAGTCTCTACTCGTTACGCCTTTTCCACGGCATCGCTGAAGGCGTTAATTTGGGCTACAGCTACATCCTTCTGGATCTCCACGTTCAGACCCTGGACAAATCGCCGTATTCTTCGTTGCTCGATCATGATGAGTTCGGGCGCAAATTTGGACAGCCGAATGAATTGGCTCTCGTACTCGGCCACAGTCTGGGTCCCTTAGCGAAACCAGATAAATTCGTCTTCCTTCCGTTCCTAAACCAGAGGAGGGAAGAATTTAGCGTTGAATTCCCTCATAAAGTTCACCCAGATCTTGGGCATTTGCTCTCAGTCCCACTTTTGTCGTATTACGTTCCACCAGAAATGGGCCGCACTTTCCAATTGGAAGGCAGCAAAAGTCACTTGCCTTTCCTTCGTGTAGTGTAGAGTAGCAAAGATGTCCACCATCTTTTCTAACCACCTTTCGACCACATCTGGATCGGGCCCCCCAATAAACTTTAGTGGAGCAAACTTCTGGAACCTCTCAAGGGCCTTGTCCTCGTTCTCCACGTGATTACTGGGGTTCCCAGGGTTGGGGTTAGGGTTTTGACCCTGTTGTTGCATCGCTTGGGCTAGCAAGTCAGTTATTTGCTGCATGGCAGCAGCTATTTGGACATTGGGATTAACCCTAGGTTCAGGATTTGGTACAGACGAGGTTTCCCCAGTGCCCCTTTCAGACGTGGGTTGCCTACTCCCGCGTCCACGTCCTCGACCACTACGAGTTCCTTCCATGGAGTTTAATCGATCTAGGTAAAACGTAAATATAACATTAAAGGTTACGGCAAACGTAAGTAAGGAGCCAAAAGATATTTACAATCAAACCATATATACATATCACACAACAGTGTCAAATGAGTCACACATTAACAGTCAGTCAAGTACAAACAAAGAAAGTCCATAAGGGAACGGCATCATCAAAAGTAATATATACAAAATTAGTCCAAACGTACAAAAACGGCTAGCTAAGGTTCTTTCCCAGATCTATCATCCCCCTATCCTTTCTATATACGATGGTCAAAATCATTCAAAATTGTAGCCTAGAAGTAAAGGCATAGTCCGCTGTAGGACTAGTGGACCCATTAGACTGGGTGGGTTCACCTTCAACCCCGCCTCCTATACAAGAAGCCTCATCGCTCTCCTCCCCAAGCAGGTCATCGCAAATGTTCAAAATCGATTCAGCTCTAACCCTCGCTTTCCTTGCCCTCTTAACCATGCGTTCATGTGCTTCTCCAAGTTGTGCACAGAGGTCACCTACCCTATCCTGACCTTCGACTACATCGTACTCAAGCTCCTTAATTCGCTCAACTTGCCTCTTATTAGCTTCCCTTAGTTGGTTCACTTCGGCTTCGAGCCTAACATTGTCCTTCGCCAATTCCTTCCTTTCCTCTACCACAGCCAAGACGACTGTAGTGGGATAGGCATAGAGATTGCGGCACTTACAATGCCGATGACGGTTAGCCGGACTCCAACATACAACGGCCTCTCTTGGCCGGATTTGATGCTTAATCATTGGAAGTACTCCACGGGGCTGCTCACCAGCTAGACTACCACTAGAACCACTATGTCCGTCCATCCTACACAAAAGTGTAGATAACTTAAGTACTCTTAAGGGAAATAACCAAATATAATCCTCAAGTCGAAAATTTCTAACATGCCCAGGCTAATTCAAACCTAAACTCTGATACCACCTATGACAGCCCCACTTTCCCCTTAGGCGTACCAAAGGGGTTAGCGGACTGCCTGCCCAACTCTCATCAGGACTAACGAGATAGTTAAATACAATCTAAAACGTTCCGGAAGATAAAAGCGCGCTCAAACGAATCAAAAATCACAAAACGAAAAAACAAAAATCGGAGCCGTACATAAACAGTGCCAGCCACATCACAATCCGGTCGGAATCTGGCCGGATTTTCGGCTGAATTCTTGGCCGGATTGTGGCCATAGAGCAAGTGGCCGGATACCAAAATTTTCAATGCAATCCGGCCAAGTTCTGGCAGGATTCTTGGCCGGATTCGCCTGTGACCTTTCCACCCAAAATTTTTTTCTTTTGCCATTTGAAGTTCGAACCTGTCTGAAATCGAATCAATCACCCACAGTACATATAAACCTTGAAATAAGACATTTACAAACCAAAATATCATACGAACATTACCAAACATGTTTATACACTTATAGTCTCAACTTTACAACTCAAAAGGGCATGTTGAGTCAAAATACATATAAGGTTTTTCCACCATCAAGGAGCTATACAAAAGAATAATATTAAACTAGCTCAACTTGGCCTCAAAATCATAGTTTTTCCAAAAGGTACTCATATCCCTGTAAGGAAAACAAATGTAATAGGGTGAGCTTTCGCCCAATGAGGTACCATCACCCAAGTAACGAAGTTCATGTGAGCACAAAGCCAATCAATCCAAATTCATTCAATAAAGGAATTAACTAACACCATGCTTCAATAAAGATTGGTAAAAGGATACGAACGGCTCTCGAGAGCCCTTCTCCTCGCTTGCCATATTTGATCTCACTTCATTAACTCTCCGTCAATGTACAAGGAGTGAACAATACCTAGACTCCACTTTTCTCCAATTTCCGTCCACCTCTCATACCCCTACCGGACCCGAACTCCAATCAATTCAGAAATGATAATACTCGAGTATACCGAAATTAAGAGTCTCATACTCAAGGATTCCACATAAACAGTCCCCATGGCTTGTCAATTTTCTCGACCGAGCCCTTGCCGGCTCAATTCAATTGACCACCAATGGGGTTGAGCTCAGTGTTAACAGTAGAGGTCGTTGGATACACGTCCAAATGACACCAGTTCAAGTATATTCAAGTGACATTTAATTGATACAGTAAACGGTCACATAAGACATAGAGTGCGAGAGTGATAAAGTACACCCTCATCTCAAATAATTTCAACAGTATACACAAACAGTCAAGTCATAGATTTCAAGTATATCAAGCCACGAAGTAACAATCATGTGAGTAGTACACTCACCAAGCAAACAAAGAGTGTTATCACAAATTTCTGTCCAACGAGCGCCTTGCATCTCCGGCACGTCCTAAAACATTCAATAAAACACAATGAGACTCTATTACAAGTCATAACTCCAAACCACATATCACTAACGTAAAACCGTAATAACTTGAAAGCAATATAAGGCACACTTGGTGTTAAAGGTTTAGACAACCCTAAGGTCACCAATTAACCCCTAAAGCAACCCAAATCCAAGAAAACATATGAACCCACAATTCGGATAGCATTTCCCCTTATAATTTCCAATTTCCAACCTATAATCACTCACTTATGTTTCCCAAACACAACCACCATTACCATTGCAAGTCATAGGCCATTCAGTACAACTTATTAGGGTCACAATACCCTTTAAACAAAGTCAATTCAAGAGTTCTATAGCAACCCTAGAAAAGCCCCAATTCAAAACCCTAAATCTGAAATTTTCCATATAAAGTGGAAATTTTTCGCAAATAGCTACAATTAACACACCAAAGCTTCTTTCTAAACCATTCCAGACCATCATCCATGGCCAACCAATATTAAACATATAAAAACAGAAAAATCATGAATAAAAAAAAATTCATCAATCTCTATCAAAAGTCATGAAATCTTACACAAAATCATCTCTTTGACAAACACAAGTCATTAATTGAACATTATCAAGAACAAAAGAAAGATTCCTTAGCCACTTACCTTGCAAACTCAAGAAAAGAGACAATTTAGCACCTCTTCTTTCCAAACCACTCCACCAACTACTTCAATACCACATAACTAAGGATTTTTATGAAGAAATTTGAAGTTTAAACTATTGAATTGCAAGATTGGTTGAAGAAAGTTGAAGGTTTTCTTTCTTTTCCTTCTTGAGAGAGTCGGCCAAGAGAGATGTATGATGAAGGTGAATTTTGGGTCAATTTCTTGGTTATTTAGTAAAGTTGGTAAAATGGTCAAAGTCCAACTTTAAATCACAAAGTGACACTTGTCACCTTTTGAGTTCAAAGCTACCCTTTTGTCTCTCCCACACCAATCCATTTGGATAAGTTCTAATTATCTTTTAACACCTTATAAATTAATCCCTGTATACAAAACTTAACCTAATTGGCCGAATTTTATCAAATTTACCGCACTAGCGGGTCCCACATCCAATATACACTCCTAAAATCTCATGAACTAACTTATACTAGAAAAATGATTTAAAAATCATATTTACTCATAAAAATTATTTAGAAAATTTTTCTAATAAAGAAAATATAGAAAAGGCGTGTAATTAAATAAAATAAAGCATAGAAAATAAGAAAATTTACGTGTTCTCACACTGGGAATCACTCCTGTGATCAGAGAGCAGTTTTGCATACTTGATGAGGCTCTCATGGTCATCAACTCTTGGACCTATGATAATGACAGTAGGAAGGAGGAAAGGTAGCTTCTCAGCATTCATTGCATTGACCTGAAAGGTGTAGTTAACTGGTATTGCATCAATCATTTTGCATTTCTGAAATGGCCAAACAAGTGCCTTCTTTGTGACCTTTATGTCATCAATGGAAGCCCCAGTGATTGCAAGAAACTCAGTTGCCTTCACAACGCGATACATTTTTACATTGTTAGTGCTCTTGCCTTTCCTCCTTTGATCTTTGGAACATGGGAACAACTTTTTGTTCTCAAGAAAATGGCAGAAGAAACTTTTATAATCGTCTGAAATGTATGACTTCTAGGTGATTTAGAAGTCAATAGCAAGGTGTGATTTGAGAAATTTATTGATGGCTTTAATTTGATCAAGTGTAATAATGGTTACTATTTTTGTTTAATCAGTTGTTTCTGTGGATGCACTAGATATGTTTTCCTTGTTAAGAGAGAACTAAATTACAAGCTCAAAGTTGTTGATTATCATGTTTTTCATTTGTTAATGAATTTATTACTAAACTTATAATTGGCAGTACATAGCTTTTGATACTAGTGAATTTCTCAAGTCAATTGGAGTCTTTACCAAATTTTAGTGTTTTGAGTTTTTTGCCCTTGCTTTTGTCTTTACCAAGTTAGTCTATTAATTGAGTTTTGTGGTAGGTTAAAAAAGAAGCTACCAACTAGGGCAGTTTCTTTTTTTGCCCAAAGTGCATGAAAAGTAGATTTGGTGTTATATTTTCTTTTGGTTAGTCAACCAACTAGTGGAACGTCATTTCTACTGCAGTTCACTTTACATGTGCCTACCTAAAATTTTGTTGACTTTTTTATCCTATTTGCATCTCTAATTCTGGATATTAATGACTATTAGCTTAAGTTAATATCCAGATGATGCCTTGAAAGAAATGACATTTTTTTGGACAAATCCTCAATTTTCTTTTCCTTAAGTTTTACTTGTCACTTACTAATTATCGTACTACTTGATTGCAGGTATACACTATTCATCCAAACCTTTTAGGGATCACCAATTACTACTTGACTGAAGAACAATGGAGACAAAATAATCTTTTGCTCATGAAGTGTTTCGATAGTAGATTTATTTTTAGACTTGGATTGCTTTAGTAAAACTCTCTTGACGTTCATGTGAAATTTGGGTTACATACTACTTATCAAAGTATTTGTAGGGTGATGTTAAACTTAAACATTATATTTGAATGTTTAATATGACATTTTTGGCATTTATTAATGTAATGAATATTTTTGTTGTTAATCGACAAGCTTTGTTGCTTTTATTCATCGTTATCTTTAGTTGATTGACTCTTTCATGGAAAGTGTGTATGTTGTTGTTAATAAATCAGATTTCTCCATTCACATGTTGTCACTAAAAAGATGACTAGAATGAGAACTTTATATTGTCACTAAACCACAAGTGTATAGTGACCACAAAAGTTGTCAATAATTAATAAGTAGCAATGATGATCATGGACAAGTTTTAGTGACAACATTGCTCTAGATATCATCGACAAGAATTCGAGTCATCGCTAAAATTATGTCTGTTAGTGACAAGAATTGTCGTCACTAAACTATGCCACTTATTGACAACTTTTAAGGTTGTCACTATGCACTTTTACCGATGGACATTCAGTGACGACTGCATAGTTGTCAATAAAAGTTATTAGTGACAACTTTTCCTTTTTTTGTGACAAGAGCTGATTGTCACTAATGGCCAATTTTCTTGTAGTGGCTGAAAAGCTATTTGCTGTAATTTCAGGTTGAGAGCTTTAAGGCTATATGCTGTTGGATACAATGGATATGTTGTAATTTCAATTTTTAAACATTCAAGTGCAGGACATATATAAGCTGTCAAAGAAATCCATGTAATCAATCAACAAATGGGAGTGGTATTCCTACATTAAAAAAAAAAAGAAAGAAAAGCTGGCAACGACTAAGTAGCAACTTCAGTAATCTGGCAACCTTCCTTTTACCAATATGACTCCCTTGTTTGCATAGGTTGATCAATAATTTTTTAACTTTTAAGAGGCATCACAGTATAATAGCCAAGAAAACCTAGAGGAGGGAGAAGGAAAAATGCACAATAATGGCTCGTCCTATGCGTGATAAGAAATATAAAATATTTTGGAAGTTAGTATAGCTAATGAATCATCCTTTGTAGATTTAGTACGAAATGTTTCAAAAGGACAAAAATGACAAAAATATTTACACCAAAAACTATCTTATTGCTATTATTAATTTTAATTTTAATTTTTGTTTTCCATTCTTATTTCCTTCAGAAATTTTTTTTTTGGAATTCCTTTCTGTTTCTTTAGTACTTTTCTTTGTTAACCAAACAGAATAAAGCATTAGGGTTTTCAAAGGAATTCACTTCCAATATTCCACTTTCCATTCCTCACTCGTTTCCTAGAACCAAATAGAGCCTAAAACAATTAAGATACATGGAATTTTTCACTACTTTGAATAGAAAATCAAGCTAAACATGACAAAATTACTTACTGCTCTACTAAAAATATTAAGCTAAAATTATTCCTGTACAATAATAATTGACCATAACATAGCTAAATTATTATTTTTCCAGCCATGCAATTGCCTTACATTCAATATTTTTGTACATAGCGTAACGCCCCCACTTCTTCCTAAGGCGAACCAAAGGGTATCCGCGGAACGCCTGCCCAGTTCTTATCAGGATTCAAGACCAATCCCATTCAAGCTTAATATAATGTTATCTATCGCAACAAGGCAAAGTAAGAAAGATAAGTTGCTTCCATAGCATTAAAATTCACACCACAAGTTTCGGAATATAACAATCGTCCCACTCTTATATTGTGAGAACCCGTAAATTTTCGTATTTTCTAGGGTTTTATTTTATTTAATCGCACGTTTTTCTGTAATTTTTTTATTAGAAAATTTTCTAACTCGTTTTATGAGTAAATAGGGTTTTTAAATCATTTTTCTAGTATAAGTTAGTTCATGAGATTTTAGAAGTGTATACCAGGCGTGGGACCCGCTAGTGCGGAAAGTTCGGTAAAATTCGGCCAGTTAGGTTAAGTTTCGTATACCGGGATTAATTTAGCAGGTGTGAGAGATAACTAGAGGTTACTAGATGAATTGGTGTGAGAGGGATAAAAGGATAGCCATGCATTAATTAAGGTGACAAGTGTCACCTCCCTATTTCATCTTGGACTTTGACTAATTGGCCAACTTTACCAAATAATCCCAAAATTCACCAAAAATTCATCATTTCTCTCCCTCTCTTGGCTGACTCTCTCCACAAGAAAAGAAAAGAAAACTCTCAACTCTTTGGCTTCCAATCTTGCTTAATCCTCAAATCTAACCGATTAAACTTGGATTCTCTCCATAAAAACCCCTAATCTAGTGGTTGCAAGGTTGGTTATCAAGTGGTTTGGAAGATTAAGGTGCTAAGTTGCTTCCTTTCTTGGGTTGGTAAGGTGAGTAGCCAAGAAATTCTTTCTTGTTCATGATAATGCTAAATTGGTGCCGTGTGGTAGTTGAATAAGTGATTTTTTGGATGATTTCATGACTTGTGGTGAAAATTGATGGATTTTTATTTTTATGCTTGATTTTTCTGATTTCATATGTTTAGTGTTGGTTAGTCATGGATTGTTGGTTAGTTATTGTGTAAAATGGAGCTGATATATGTTGGATATGGTTGATTGTGCAAAAATTCTGGTTTGGGGCAAAATTTCCAGGTTAGGGTTTCAAACAGGCCTGTTCTGTCCGAATTTATTTGAGCAGGTTAGAGGCCAAATTAGCTTAAGGTTAAAAAATGAAAGTTGTATAAAATGATGGTTTATAGTTGCCTACAAAATTTCAGCCCAATCGGAGCAACGTAGCCTATGAAAAGACCGAAATACCCCTGCTGCCCTGTTTCTATTCGAACATGCTAATCAGCTTCTGTAATTGGTTGTTTTGACCAGGAATACTACTGATTGTCGATGTCTTCTTAAGACTTATAGCCTTGTATCTTATCTTTCAAATGACTTTGGAATCACTTGAATTGGAGTTGTATATGTTGAGATATGATTGAATGAATCAGGACTGCCACAGTAAACTTCGAACTGGAAAATCTGGGGTTGTTTTGGTAAATTTGACCTAGATACATTGCAAACTGGACTGAGTAGCCTTCTTCAACATTGTAGCTCTTTCTCTTAGCTTTGAAACAGTGTAAATTACACCTTAATCCGACAAGGATAGCTTCAGTTGTGTTAATTCCGCTAAGTAACAGCAAATCTGCCTTTTGTTTCCCAACCCAAACTTCATTTCCGCATATGTCCTAGTTTGATTTTTCACTTGTACGTTCCATATGATTTTACTCTAGTGATATGTGGATTCGGTTTATGACTCGTATTCGAGCCTTATTGTGGCTCTAATTAAAGGTGTTTGATAGCTTGTGATTTGTGGGTGTTGAGGTTTGGTTGGAAAGTAAAGAAAGACAAGGGAAATGCTGTCAAAATTTTCGCGGAGCTTCTGCACAGTCTCGGAAAATTTACTATATCTTGATGTAGGAATGTCTTGTTGCGTTTTAAACTAGATTCATAGGGCTATAAATTGTGTAAATTTCAGACCCTGTTTATGTCTATACCATTTATGGTGATTTTTCAAAGTTGACTGAAATATTGTACCTGTTCTGTCTTTCACTGGATAAAGCAGCAACTTGAGGCTTGAATTTGACTGACTTGCATTCTGAATCTTATGAGGATGTTCTCTGGAAAGTTATAGCCCTTTGAATGTATTTTCCAACAGTATAACTTTTACTAATTTTGGACTTATAAAACTTGCGATATGATTTTTCATATAGGGTTGCGCGAAACTGGAAAATCTTATTTTCCTAGTATTGATCTTACTTTCATTTTCTACTTCAAATTTGGAGTTGGTCAGTCATTGTAGGTAGGGTTTTGAGGTTGTTCATGCCTTTAGGACTAATCGTTATTTTTTCACTCCAAAGTCACCTCTTCGCTTTACATTAATGGTACATTTGGATAGGCACCTGACTTGTAATCGAGTTTTACTTGTGAATTCCACTTATTAGGTCTTGGAGTCCTGTCTTAAGTGTTTGCCTTGATTGTTCTAGGAGGTGCCGGCGAGTAAAGCCATACTTGGGAAGGAAACTTTTGAAATTATCCTTGTTTGATCAGGTGAGTGGTGGTCCCCTGAATT